GTAGCCCAAGAGTTGGCGGTGGTGGTGATGTCTAGCTGCCTTCCCTCTAGTCTTACACTGCTGAATTTGGGACGTCTAGCGCAGATAGCCCTCGTGTAGCTTTGCGCGAAATTCAAAACAAACAAACAAACATGTTTATTATTATTATTATATGAAGTTTTATTTTATTCTGCCACTTGAGAAACTGGCATATCCTGACGATTCTTTCATAAAGCACAGAACAGATGTTTTAGATCAATGTTTATGGGTGATGTAGGTAATGTTTTGATTCAAGAATTGTACGTACTTCCGCCTTCTAGTTGCTGAAACTCCACACTGTCTTGCTGCACTTCCGGTAGAGTGTCTTAAGTACTGTTGCTAGGTGCGGCGGGCCTGAAGAAGGTGCTTCAACAGTTTGATCACTTTTTAATCAACATCACTAATTTAGTAATACATAGGTTACTAAAAAAAATGATGTATTGGCTTCTTTAATGTACTTACATAAAACATCTGTTTAATAAGCATTAAATTATAATCTTTTCTTGGCATTATGAGGTTTTAATAAAAAATTAGGAAATTTACAGTATACCTTTTAATAACTTTCTGATAAACATTGTTATAGTTAGCGGGAGTTTCTTGTGGTATCTTAAGAAATAATTTAACTTTAACTGACTCAGTGGCAGATGAGGTTGTATTCACAAATTTTCATATATGTGAATATAGTTTGTTGGATTTATATACATGTTTTGATGAATCGTAATATTGTATGATTATTAAATATGATGATGGTCTCAAGTGGAATCCTCTTACATCGGTACGATATGCACTTCAGTACATCGTGTGTATTTGAGCATTATACCACGACTACTAAATGAAGTTTGAATTTAAAGTTTGCATAAAGCAATTTTGAAAAATACCCAAAACATGTTAATAATAAATGATGAGTACTCATGAGTCAATCTTTCTTTTCATTTGTGATTGGAGAAATACTGTTTATGTATAATGTAGACGTGGTGTGTCAGTCTGAACGTTACGACAACCATTGTGCCATACTTACATACCTGTACTTTCTATTGATTGGAGATGTTCTAGAAGCTAGAATCAAGACTTACGCCATAATGGCTTATTTTTTTATGAGTTAAAGAAATAAGGTACAGGTGTTTTTGTTATTGTTTATGTTAATTTTCACCATTCTATTGTTCTCGACCACTCATACTGTCATATCGTTACCGACAAATGAAACATTTTAAAGTAGATTATTTATTGGTATGTTTTTGTAATGTTCTTTTATAATAGAATTACACAGTACTGTCGCAGCTTTACTTTTATCCGTCTTCACAATGAAAGCTCAAATGTTTGTGCTGTTCTAACAAAACGAATGTATATTGTTCCCTGTGTTTAAAACCATTTTGATACAATCCCTTTAAACATGAAAAATTGAAATGTAGGAATTCTTATATATATACATACATACATTTTGCATCTATGTGACGACTTTTATTTCAAGTACTAATGTTGAATTCAGTAATATCATAGTGAATATAAAGAGAGTAATATAAACCAGATTCAACCAATGTAGTGATTTCTATGTTATGTTTGGTTTGAATTTCGCGCAAAGCTACATGAAGGCTATCTGCACTAGCCATACCTAATTTAGCAGTGAAAGACTAGAGGGAAGGCAGCTAGTCATCACCACCCACTGTCAACTCTTGAGCTACTCTTTTACTAAGGAATAGTGGGATTGACTGTCACATTATAGCGCCCCTACGGCTGAAAGGGCAAGCATGTTTGGTGGAACGGGGATTCGAACCCGCGACCCTCAGATTGCGAGTCAAGCGACGTAACCACCTGGTCATGCCGGGTCATCTGTGCTCTGCCCATCACGGGTATCGAAACCCGATTTCTAGCGTTGTAAGTCCGCAGACATGCCGCTGTCCCACTGAGGGGTATTTGTTAAGTAAAAAATGGTGAAATGAATATCGTGATAATGATTTATGTAGAGGGAATAATATCTGTGAACCAAACGTTAAGCAATTAGTAAAAATATAAACGTTAAATTAATTAACATGATATGGAATGTTCAATACAAGTAATGTATTGAAGTAATGTGATATTGTTTGTAGTGAAGCATATATATACCATTAGTGCTAGCGATTTGTCTTGTTTTGTTTTAGCTATTGTACGTACAATTATAACTTAACACTATATGTTGAAATTCACGCCAGGTGTCACAATTCTAATACTTTGAACTATTTTTATACTCTAAATATAACTAACACGTGTGTTGTACGCCCACGTCAAGTGTGGGGAAAAATAACTCTTGAACATAAAAATATACAGAAACGTCAGTGTGACAGAAACAGCAATCTCTTCCTAAAAGAGAAGTAATTCACGCAATGCGTGAAATTTTAGTGTTGTCTTCAATACTGAATAAGAGATGCTACAAAATTTGCTTTACCTAGTTATAACTAGAACACCTAACCTTTTCTTTTATAAACGAGTTTTTCGCGCGTCTCGGGAGCTTTCAGTAATTTCCCGTGAAATAAATATGTTTCACTATTTTATCAATCTGGGTGTGGATGTAGTAGGGCATTAAAAACGTGTAACAACGCTATGAAGTTTTTCGTTGTTGTTTTTACGTCATGTATAGTTAGAATTAAAATGACGGATACTTTTGGATTTCACATGATTACATATTTTACCTTTATAAACACAAAGTTAATTAGTACAGTGTCCTTCACAAAACCAACAATGAACATGGTCAAAACAACAGAAATCCAGTTAATAAGAGATATATACCAAAGGTTAAGAATATTATATTAAAACGATTTTGAATATACAAATAACCAAGTCACGTGACAACCACAACAGACATAAAGTCGTAATGGATAGGAATGTACTAGAACTACATTTTGAGATTGTTTGGCATTTGATAAATTGTGTGATACCATTTAAAATTTATCGCTTTTAGAAGGGATATGCGACAACCCTTTCCGACACAAAATATTCATACGCTCATATTATAAAGATATGTTTAGATCGAGGATTTATAATTTCCAAGACGAGAATACCCATTATAGTTAATTGCATTGGAAAAACACAGAAATATGGATCAACTTGAGTGTTCGGGACCATCCAGTAAAAGACCTGCAACAGTTAGTACCCTAGCCGCGGTAAGCAAAATGAGGCGTCCAATAAGAAGCGAGAATCTAAGAACACAAAGGTTAGTGGCAATAGCTGTCCACGTGTCCCAAGCAGCAGTACGCAACACAGTTGAGAAGGAAGTCTGTCTGGAAAAGGGACACAAGTTTCTTGCTTTCGCGACATGTAAGTTCAACCGTTGCATACCTCAAGTAGCATTATTCCTACTGTCAACAATCATTCTCGACTTGTTTCTTCTGCAACAACAACCTGCCTTTATTACGCCTTCGCCTTCACTTGGACTCGCAATCTGAGGTTCGCGGGTTCGAATCACCGTTACACCAAACATGTTCGCCCTTTCAGCCGTGGAGACGTTATAATGTGACGATCAATCCCACTATTCATTGGTTAAAGAGTAGACCAAGAGTTAGCAGTGGGTGGTGATGACTAACTGCCTTCCCTTTAGTCCTACACTGCTAAATTAGGGACGGCTAGCGCAGATAGCCCACGTGTAGCTTTGCGCGAAATTCAAAACAAACAATTGCCTTCACTTGCCGCAATATTACCACTAGTGCGTTTGCGTGTATATATATATATATATATATAATTTTTTTAAATTAATTTTTTCGTTCATTTGGCCCGTTAGAACGATGGCCACTTTACGAACTTCTAATCTTTAACCTCGAGCAGGGTGAAGGAGGATTGCTAATCTTCGAACACCCTTGGTGATTAATAGTTTTTCTCTAAATTATTAACTTTAGACATAGGCACCTCAGGTAGCCGAAGAATGTAACGGTCAAGTCGCCGGACGTAGCGCCTATAGATTTCTGTGCGATCGGACCGTTGAAACGGGTGCTGGGAAACCGTCGTTCTTGTACATTTGATGTACTATGGAAATCCTGCAGAGAGTAGGGATGTGCTTTGAACACGACAGCCTTACGACAGAGCCCTTTTCAATGGAAACTATGCTGCAGGGTTATTGTAAAAATGTACAGTCGCCAGTTAGAGCACGTTCGGACATGGCGACATGAATTTTAACGGCGTGGTGAGGTTCCAAAATCGTTTTATTTGTAAGATATTTAACCACTGTATATATATATATATATATATATCGAACTTTAATAGCAAGTACATTTTTTATAGTAGAATATTCATATATTGTCATACAA